CTGCTGCTGTTGCTGCTACTACTACTGCTGCTACTACAACAACAACAACAACAACTACTACTACTACTACTACTACTACTACTGCTACTACCACTACTACGACTACGACTACGACTACGACTACGACTACGACTACGACTACGACTACGACTACGACTACGACTACGACTACGAATACGAATACGAATACGACTACTACGACGACTACGACTACGACTACGACTACGAATACGACTACTACGACGACGACTACTACTAATGCTCTACGGCTACTCTACTACTGCTACTCCTGCTCCTGCTCCTGCTCCTGCTCCTGCTGCTGCTGCTGCTGCTGCTGCTGCTGCTGCTGCTACCACTGCGACGATTACGACGACTAACACCACCACAACCACCACCACCACCAACAACAACAACACAGCCACCACCACCACCAACAACAACAACCACAACAACAACAACAGCAGCAACAGCAGCAACAACAACAACAACGACGACAATCACAACCACAACAACAACCACAACAACAACAACAACGACGACAACGACAGCGGCAACGACAACGACGACAATCACAACCACAACAACAACCACAACAACAACAACAACAACAACAACGACGACGACAACGACTGCGGCAACGACAACGACAACGACAACGACAACGACAACGACAACGACAACGACAACGACAACGACAACGACAACGACGACAACAACAACATCAACAACAACAACAGCAACATCAACAGCAACCACAACAGTAATGCCAATAGCGATAACGTTATCGATAGCAAGAACATTAACCTGATATTAAATAACAAGATCAGTATTCTTATTCAGCAAGCTTAGTATTCACATCCCATGTAGATTTATTGCTAGCATCATTATTACATGAACATGTGTAAGACGATTTCAATTTTCTTGTATTTGCCCAACCCTAAACCCTAAACCCTAAACCCTGACCAGGCAGGTCATGGAGCCCATGGAGAAGCCGGAGAAGCCCAGCTTTCTGGAGCACCTAAAATCTAAACCTTAAACCCCTAAACCCTAAACCCCTAAACCCCTAAACCCCTAAACCCTAAACCCCTAAACCCTAAACCGTAACCCCTAAACCCTAACCCCTAAACGCAGGAGAAGCCCAGCCTCCTGGAGCGCATCGCCAGCCTGACCTCGGAGGATCTCGGTGCTGTGGTGCGTGGGGCATCAGGCGAGGCTCTGTGTTAGTTGTGGTTTTGGGGGGTTTTTAGGAGTTTTTGTTTGGGGGGGTTTTAAGGGTTTAGGGTATAGGGCTTTTTTTGAGTTATTTTTTTTTGGGGGGGGGTTAAGGTTTAGGGTATAGGCCTTTCTGCTTCGTTGAAGAGCTTTTGTCGCGGTTTCAGGCTCCCGCGAGTGGACTCTTCAGGACTGGGAAGGGCTCAGTCAGCTCGAGTGACTCGAGTGGCAAGCTTCCAACAAGCTTCGGGTCATTCGTTTAATGGCTGGTACTAAACCCTAAATTTAGGGTTTAGGGTTTAGGGTTTAGGGTAAACCCTAAACCCTAAGCCCTAAACCCTGGTACTGCCATTGAAGAAATACCAATATTTTCCCCAGGGCTCAGAACCGAATACTATCATATGAGGCCGCTCCCGCTACATTATGGGACCCTTATTATGATCCTTACTTGGTTCATGGGTAGTGAGAAGTGGACTTAGAAGTATGATCACTACAGCTTTGACCCATATTGAAGGACTTATAACCCCACTTATGACTACCCATGAATCTCCACTTATATCATAGAACCCAAACCCAAAACCCAAAACCATTGTAACCCTTTCCCAAAGGGTCCTAAGCACCTATATATATATATATATAGGAATTATGGAGTTTACTTACCTAAACCGATTATAGCAATCTCTGCGTAGACACCCTGCAGTCTACTATATAGGCACGTAGGGGACTTTCTCCGCGTAAATCGTAGGCCCTAGACCCTAAACACTAAACCCTATAGACCCTAAACCCTGATTAGTCGGAAGGAACGCCTGGGCTTCTGGCTCTTCGAGCAGAAGTTCACGCAGCCCGAGCGGCAGCAGCTTGAGAAGTGCATCCAGGAAACCCTGAAGAAGCAAATTGTTTAGGGTCAAGGGTAGTTTAGGGTTTGAGGAACCCAAAACCCTGCAGTGTTTAGGGTTATAGGGTTTTGGGTCTAGGGCCTAGGGATTGGAATATGAAGCCGAATAATCCCTAACCCCAAATCCAGGAGGTCCAGAAAGTGGCGCCCGACTTGTTGGACGAGGTGCGGAAGCCCTCAACCATATAGTAGAAGCCAGAAAGTTGGAACATGATTATCCTCATGCCCCTTCAGGTAAAGCACAAGGGATCCTAGCACTAATCCTCCCAGACCCATGTTCCAACTTTCGGAGATTTGCTGTAAACCCCAAACCCAAAACCCCAAGCCCCTAAACCCTAAACCCACAACCCCAAGCCCCTTAACCCTAAACCCCAAACCCGAAACCCTAAACCCAAAGGCCCAAACCCTCATCCCTTGGAGGGGTTGGGGCTGTGTCCGGGGTCAACTCGGGCTCAACTCTACACAGGGTTCGTGGTTGAGGCTTCGAATCAAGCCCGACAAAAGAGACTTTGTTTACGGTCTAGTGGGGGTTTAGGGTTTAGAAAATTTAAAGTGTAGGGTTTTCGGGTTTTGGGTGTTTTTTGGGGAGGGTTTAGGGTTCAGAGTTTTGGGGTTTCGGGTTAAGGACTTATGGGGTTTAGAGTTTAGGTTCAGTCTTCCTCAAGGGGCCGGGTGACCCTAAACCCTAAACACTAAACCCTCGTGTCCCCTTTCTCTGTCAGGATGAGGTCAACGTCACCGAAGCGGAGCGGGAGCTCAACTCGCACAACCCCAAGGCCAAACAAGATCCGAAAACAGGGCACCTTGTTCACGATCATGCTTCTTATGATTATTGTTATTCTTATTGCTACTACTCTTTTTTGGTGGGATCTATTCTTACATTTAGAGTTTTAACTGGCACTTTTTGGATCTTCATGTTTTATACGTTCCGCTTCTTCACTTCTAGACCCATCTAAGCAAGCCTCCCACCAAACAAAAAACGTATCAGAGAACGACAAACTGGCAAGTCTCTGCTTCGTTTTAGGCACGGAGCCAGACCAAGACCCCCCTAATCTAGGGGCCTAAATTAATGACCAATTGGGGGGGGGCCTTATTATAATTATAGTATCACATACCCCAAAACCCTATTCTAATTGTTAAGGCCTTTGCATTGACAGCCCTCAACAATTCCAAAACGTCTGCAGACCCTGGCCAAGCTGTTCAAGCTCCTCGTTACCACCGCCGCCGCTGGATTTCGAACTGTTAGTTGATGTGGGTCTGCGCAATGTTTCATTGAACTGTTGAGGCTGCGGAAGCACAGGAGGTTTCATAGGCGTATTAGAGCTTCACTTCTAGATCTTCCACCGCGGTTTGGAGAATCGAACCTTTAGGATGTCGTGAAGATCTACCTAAATTCTCCATGATTTGAATTTCCCTAAACCCTGAACCCCTAAACTGCTAATATAGGGGCCTTAATCATTAGAATAGGGCTTTGGGGCCCATTACATTACTTAGGGGAACTTAGAAATATTTTTTAATCTTTGGTTACCATAAACCCTAAGAAGCAGCTAAAATTATAATTTTTGCTAGGGGTCTAAGTTCAGTATAGATTATGCTTATAATAAGGAACCCCCAAAATAGTATTGGTAATTATTCAGGCCCTACCTGTAGTCTCCATTGTAGTTCCTTTTTGGGGTACCCCCTAAAATCCTTAATACATAACTGGTTAAACCAAAAAAAGGAACTACAATGCAGACAACAGGTAAATATCTAGGCCCCTATACCCTAAACCCTATATCAAACCCCTAAACCCAAAATAGTATTGGTAATTATCTAGGCCCCTACATTAACAATTAAGCTTAAACCCTAAACCCTAAACCCCCAAAAGGAACTACTATGGGGCCTATGGGTACATCAACAGTCTCATCTCAGGTGGCCAAGCACGGCACGCAAATCGCAGAAGGAGGGCTTGGCTCGATCGGCATCGGAGAATGCGAGAAGGCTCAAGGGGGGGCGGTCAATAGGGGCCTTAATGGTTTGGGGTTTAGGGTTTAGGGTTTTATGGTTTCAGGTTTAGGGTTTAGGTTCATATAGGTGCCTAAATAATTACCTATACTGCTTTGGGGGGTTTCTTATTGTAGATATAGTACAATGGGCCCCGAAACCCTCTTCTAATTGTTAAGGCCCCTACATTAGGGGCCTTATACTAGTAGTTAGTTATAGCGTTCCTTTTCGCATTCCTTGAAAAAGTTCTATGAGGGGTGAAATAAGAAGGGTTCCTGAGAGCTCAAGAGGCACCTCAAGAATTCGAACAGGCTTTCTGGGGTATATTCTACCTGTAGTCTCCATTGTTGTTCCTTTTGGGGGGATACCTTTTAAAATCCGTACTATCAACCCAAAAGAAGGAACTACAATGGAGACTATAGGTAGTATAACAGCCGTTGGTACTCGCTCAGGCGTTTACGGTTGGCGGGCGGCCCCTGAACCCTTTCTGTTGATGCATCTGGTCCGCCGTCGTGTCCTAAACCCAAAACCCACTCAGCTAAACCCTAAACCCTAAAACCCAAAGAATCCCCACAAAGCTCCAAGGCTTCTGCAACTTTAGATTTGTCCTTGTCTTTTGCTTGTCTGTTTGGCATGGCTCATGATCCCTGAAGACAAGGAGGCACCTTACCACTTGGAGGTTGTTGGGTAGTTCGAAGTTGGGGCTATTATAGTTATAACCGATATTAGGGGACTTATGCCCCACTTACAACCCCAAAACCTAAACATAGAGCTCATATCAGGGGACGTATAACCCCACCCTTAAATAGATGCTCATGGACCTGCAAGCAGGTCATTTGCGCGGGGGATCTGAAGTACGAGCTCGATGGGACCGGCCTCCACAAGTGTACCTGGAGCCTCGACTTGCAGGGCTTAGGGGTAGGGTTTAGGGTTTAGGGTTTAGGGTTTAGGGTTTAGGCCCCTAATTCGGTTTCTAGGGTTCAGGGCCTTTCATCCCAACGCCACAGCATTCCGCTACTCTGAGTATCCCTAGGTATTCATGTCGCTCGGCGTCATCTATTTATTCATGTTCTTCCCCTGCCCACCCCTCATGATCACAAACACCCTAAACCCTAAACCCTCAACCCCTAAACCCAAAACCCCAAAACCCCAAAACCCCAAACCCAGGATGCCCCAAAAACCAGGAACTGCCCTGCTGATGGAGACCAACCCATGATCCCGGCGCAGTTCCAGTCCGTCGGGATATCATTGGCCGAGCAGGACTATGGTTTGGGGCTGACGTGCCTGCCTAGCAACCCTAAACCCTAAACCCAAAACCCTAAACCCTAAACCCAAACCCAAAACCCCAAACCCTAAACCCAAAACCCTAAACCCCAAACCCTAAACCCAAAATCCAAAAACCCTCGTCCAGCAGGTGCAGGAGATGGAGGCCGAGACTTTTCGCAATGAGACCAAGGAGGCCTTGGAGGCCGTGGAAGCCGAAAACCAAGAGCCCCCCCAAACTGAAGGGTTTCGGGGTTTAGGGTTTAGGGTTTAGGGGTTTAGGGTTTAGGGTTTAGGGGTTTAGGGTTTAGGGTTTAGGGTTCAGGGTTTAAGGGTTTAGGGTTTAGGAGTTTAGGGGCTTACCCTAAGGGTCCAAGTACCTAACAATCCTATACTCTCCCAAATACTAACCTACAGAACTAATATCCGAAACCTAAGTACCTGATTATTGGGTCCTTTGGACCCTTGGGTTTATAAGCTAGGACTTAGGACTTATAGTTGCACAGGGTTTATAGGGTTTAGTTTAGGGGTTTATAATGCTTACTTATCGTATTACAGGGTTTATAGGGTTTAGTTTTGGGTTTATAAGCTAGGGTTTTTGTGTAGGGTTTATAGGGTTTAGTTTTGGGTTTATCGGCTAGGGTTTAGGGCTTATCGTTTTATAGGGTTTATAGGGTGTATAGGGCTGAGGAATTTTCAGCCCTGAACCCGTACACCCCTATAGACCCTTAAGCCCTGTAGCCCTGGAGGCGATCGATGAGTCGAAGCAGCTGTCGGATAAGGATTTCAAGAGCTCCAAGGCCCCGGAGATGTGTGTTGTTTTCTTGAGGGGGGGTGGGGGCTTCAGGGTTTAAGGCTTGTAGGTTTTAGGGTTTAGAGAGGGTTTAGGGTTACTAGGGTTCGGAGTATTAGGGCATACAGGGCTTAAAGGGTTTAGGGTTTGAGGGTTTATAGGGTTGAGGGCTTTAGGTTCAGGCTGCAGGGTTTGGGGCTTTATGGTTTATATAGGGCCTGTAGGGTTCAGGGTGCAGGGTTTTGGGGTGGGGGCTTTCAGCGTTGAAGGCCTGGGATATGGTGAAAAAGTTGGACCTCAACTTCCACAAGGCCATCAGCGACGACCCCCTGGTGCTCCTCAAGACAGACGCTTATCATTCTCTAAAATGTTGGCCTTTTGGGTTCCTATAGGTTCTTACCTAAACCCTAAACCCTAAACCCTAAACCCTAAACCCTAAACCGCATTGTCTTTCTGTAGCTAGTTGGGGAGTAAGGACGGCCCAAACCAACTGGGCCGCCCCAGAGCCTCAGCCGTCCGATACCATGGGAAGTGTGCTCCGGACGACCTCATCGTGGGCCAACGGCTCATCTTCACTGGGAGAGGCCACGCAGACATCCCGTACGAGGCCGTGGTGAAGGTGGAACGCTTGGCGAATGGCTGGTTGGACTTCTTCCCCGTGCCGGCAGGCCACGTCGAAATCAAGTACCTGGGGAAGAAGGCGTGGGGGCTCCCTCGTCAAAAAAAGGAACTACAATGGAGACTATAAGTCTTATAGTCTCCATTGTAGTTCCTTTTTTGGGGTTAACCAAGTGTATAGTAAGGATTTTATAAGGTGTCCCCAAAAAGGAGCTACAATGGAGACTACAGGAAGACCCCCACCCCGAAAGTATCCTAAACCCTAAGCCCTAAACCCTAAACCCTAAACCCTAAACCCTATGCACTTTGAAACTCCAGCTCGCCAGCCGGAGGTCGTCGTCCCGATCTCGCAGGTGAAGCGCGAAGCCTTGGGGAATCTAAGCATGCAGCTGGAAGCCTAAAGGCTCTGAGTATCTCTTTAGGGTTTAAGGGTTTAGGGTTTAGGGGTTAGGGGTTTGGGTTTAGGGTTTAGGGTTTAGGGTCTATGAACCTGGAAGTGCTTGAAACCTAGCTATAGGCCTGTGCTCCCCCAACAGAAGACTCGCCCCACTTCCCGAACAAAGTCCGCCCAACCCTTGCCCCAAACCCTAAACCCTAAACCCTAAACCCTAAAACCTAAACCCTAAACCCTAAACCAAGGAAGGTCAAGGTGGATCCTGGCCTCCAAGATTGGCTCTTCAGCACCCAGAACCACCTCGAGGTGAAGAGAGCGGGTGTTGAGCGCCTTTCTCTTCCGCAGTTGCTGCCAGTTTTGGGATTTCCGGGTCGTCTCATAGACCCTAAACCCTGCAGGTTTAGGGTTTAGGGTCATTAATTAAGATGCCTCGGTCACCTCAGCTCACCCTTGAGGTGAAGCCGCCGGCGAAGCATGACCCCAGCCGGCAGCAGGTGGCTGACACCTTGTGGCTCCCCGTGAAGAAGGACAAAGGTGAGTAGAGAAGAAGCCTCTTCAGAGCATGTCGCCGCAGAAAAAGCCAAAGCGGCTTGACGCAGAGGGCTTCAGCGGTTCAGGCAAAGCAAAGCTAAGCAAGGCCCCACACCTCGCAGGCTAAACCACACTACGCGAAGCGCGAAAGCCCTCAACCCCCTAGCCCTATGCCCTCAGAGCTTCATTTAGAGAATCCGGATGCTTTCAAGATTGTGGGCTCTCGAAGGGCCGGGTCGCCCCAATAGCTGTAGAGCATTGCAGCAGACCCGACAGTAGCACGGACCGAACTCCAAAAAGGTTTATATTGTTAAGGGGCCTCGAACCCAAAGGAAATCCCTGAACCCCTAATCCCTAAA